CCCCTTTGGGCTCCTATCACCGGGGACACCTCAACCCCCCAAATTCCCCCGCCCAGAGGGGGGGGGCAATTCCAGCCCCCAGAGTTGGGGGTGTGGAAGGCCACACAGCTTAAAGCAGCCAAGGTGGAGAAACACTGCTCTAAACAGACAGATGTTTTGGTGACAACTTGTGACTTGGGAGCTTGTAATCTGATATGCCATGCGAATCTTAGGCTACTGCAGATGGACTACAAGATACTGGCCTTAACACCGCCTTACATTGCTCCATTAGCAGAAAAGGGGAAACCATTTTCCTTCTTTTGGCTTTGTTTCTATAACCCTGGTTGAAAGGAGGAATAGTTGGTGGCAGCAATCAGAAGTTGAAAAGAGTAACTGCTGGGTGACACAGGCCTGGTGACAGAAACCAAGTGCTTTATCAGTAAGTTTAACGCTGTTGCACAGAGCTACGGGGGGGGGGGGGGGGACTAGGGAATCCACATAGTAAAATGCAGTTATTGTATTTTAAAGGAACAGCCATTTTCAAACAGCTGAGTGTTAGTGAACACCAGACATGCTTGAGGTCCATCTTCCTGGAGTTCCATAGCCTTCACTCTTCAAAATACATTCTATCCCACTTTTAGCACAGCGTTTCTTAAACTGTTGGACCCAATTATCCCTTTACCCCGTCTAGATTGTCACTACCACCCCCAAGAAACAGACTCTGTTGTTTTACACAAGTGTCTTAGTGGTGACAGTCCCAAACTGGACTCACAAATAAGCAAGTACAAAATTGCTCCATTGCCCCCAGGATATACGCAAAGTACCGCCTTGGGGGTAATTATCCCCAGTTTAAGAACCACTACATTAGCACCGTCCTGTGTATATGATGATTATATATTTCCCTTACAAAAGATTTAACTGATGCCTATATATTGATGGCCGTACAATCTGAAACAGGCACACCAAAATTAAATGAGAATACCTGGGGGAGAGTGGAATTATTCCATGCTGTATCATAATTTGGCTTAACCACAGTTTGCTGAATAAACCCACAAGGGCTTATTTTGAAAGATTTTATTTTGGGAGTTAAGTTTCAATAGGACAATAGTTCCTAAGTGGTGTTCTCGGGACTGCTGTAAACCTGCAGGGGTTCTTCTGGTGTTCCTTGATGTGGGTGTCAAAATAAGCACTTAAAAATGGCAAAAATTGGCTATTTTAGTTCCTATCTAAAACTGATTAAAATTTAGCATTAGGGTTCTATGAACAGTATCCCAGGGAATGCATAGTACTAGCAAGCGTGTTTCTGCATGTTCCTGATAGGTCTTGAAAAACTTTCTGTGATGACGCAGTGATTTGCATTAAGTCAAAAGTAAGGCAGTCTTGCCCGATCTCACAACCTCTGAATAGGCCTTGTCTGTATCTCAGCCAACATGGTCAAAGGCTTCCTGAAAATGGGAGGCTTAAGAAATGCAAAGCACAGAGGCTAAGCCTTACCTAGGAAATCTCTTCTCCCCCAAGCCATTTTGATTTTTATCTGTTGTATTTTACTGAGCTTATAGGCTGCTCTGGTCATGGACTCTGAGCAACACCCATCCCAACCTTGGTGAACTGGGTTAAAACAATACAATAAAAAGAAAACAAATCAATAATATGACCCAAGCTACATAGAGACCTGGGAACAATCATCAGTAAAAACCCAAATCAAGATCACCATATTCCAGCCTCCGAAGCCTGATGGAATTACCGTATTCTAATTGCCCTTCCTAGAAACCAGGTGAGAAGGCTCTGGTGAAGGCCTTTTGGGGAAAACATGAGAGTGCCACTAAGGGGGGAAAGAAGAAGTGAGCTGTTAAGTGGGACTAAGTGAGAAGAAATTATACAGTCCAGAGATAGAAAGAAGTGTGAAAAAGAAACTCAAAATAACTCTGCCTTGGTTATGTTTCGTATAAGATGGGACATCGAGAGAAACCTGGACAGGCTTCCAAGATTCTGTTGATAATGACTGACTATGGACCATGAAGCCATTGCTGACTCTTAGCAACCACACAGGTAAGGTTTTCTTCATGACGATCTGTCCCTAACCTGGTTTTTCAGGTCTTCCAAAAAGTACACTCATCGCTGCTGTAACTGAGTCCATCCACCTTGCTGCTGGTCATACTCTTCTTCTCTTTTCTTCCATCTTTTCCAGAGAGCTAGGTCTTCGCATAAAGTGTCTGAAATATATATAATGTGTCTCTTAGTAGACCTACATCAATCAATAAAGTTGCATTCCTCGAGCTCCCATGGTATCTTGACCTGGCCTACTTCAAAGGGCTGATATCAATTGTAGAAGTCTTCCCAAGTTTCTCATCTTATATCAAACAAAACCAAGGTGGAGTTATTTTGAATTTCTTTCTCATGCCTCCTTCCATCTCTGGGCCATGTAATCTCTTGCCTGAGTCTCCTTAATGGCTGGCGCCTTCCTTCCCCCTTCACGGTACTCTCATGCCTTCCCCAAGGCCACTTCTACATCCCTGGTCAGTTCCTGAGGTCCAAGGAAGTGCCATTCCACAGAAGGGCAAAGTGACTGAGAAGGCCCATTTCCCTGATCTGTGGAGGTGGCATCTCCTTTCATTTGTGCCCTGAGTCCATAAAGCCCACCCCTCTGCAGATACCTCTCAATTCCCAGCATCAGATTCCTCTCTTTTGAGGACTTGCTCCCAGGAAAGGTGATTCCAATGGTCATGAGGTCAGCAGCAGAGGTCAACTGAGGCATGATGACCTGGCCAGAGACCCAATGCTGCTGGTCTGTTTGGCCACGGGGGGAGATGACAGACAGAGGTGAAAGCTGAGCAAAGAGAAGCTGAGGCAGGGCAGGCCCCCCTCCTGCCCCTCTTTCCCCTGGCAGGGAGTGGGGAGGATGGATCCATTCCTCCCCTTTCCCGGAGACTCATGTAGGGGCTCGACCTTTCTCAGGGGCAGTGGAAGAGAGGAGAGGGGTGAACCCAAGGATTCCCCACTTCCATCAATCCAGCAAGGGACTAGCTAGGGAGGAGGGGAACTTGAGGGGATCCAGACTCGGGGGGCAAAATGGCCTCGTTCCCAAGCCTGCCTGGACTCACTGGCCAGAGTGGACAGTCTTCCCAGGCCAGCGAGGACAAACTGGACAGGAGGCTCCATCTTCCTCCCACTGGAAGCCAAAGGAGCATCTTGGCACCCTAAAAAAGCCTTGGAGAGCTTTACAACAAGGGGAAAAATGAATTGGGGGGGGGATGGAGAAGAAAGAGAAAATGCATTCATTTTCCTCCCTTCAAGGAACATGGTGGCTAGAACCCCCCCGCCTGATTCCCTCCCACCCCCCCAGGCAAATTCAGTATGGTTGCCACAGCCCAATTAGCATCCCTGAGAAAACCTCGCTTGTCCCCCCCCCCCCGACCTAGTCAGTACCACCAGCGAGGGATGGGGGTTGCCATGGAAACAGGGAGAGCCAGCCGGTCAGATTTTTTCGGGGAGGGGAGGGAAGAATCCGTAAGCTAATGAGATGGAAACTGGGGAGAGAAGGTGGGGAAGTTGGGCAACTGAGATAAAAGGGGGGGGGAGACAGGCTGCACCCCCTTCAAAAACTCTTGCAAGTCCAGGCTTCTGGGGGCACCTTTCTCCAGGGCGGGGCCGGCAGATCCGTGGCCGGTTCCTCCCTGCTCTGAATCCCTCGGCAGGGCTGCCAGGCACTTCCCTGGGGCTGTACCCTTAATCAGAAGCCGTAAAAAGGGCGGATTGGAGTGAAATACCGCCATCTGCAGGCTGCTATTTATGACAGCGAAGTGTTGCTGTGGCAACAGCAGGCGGCTGGGCTTTGTTTTGGTGGCTTCGGGGGGGAGGAGGGGGACGAGGAAGTGGGCACCTTGGCACGGAGGGAATCTCTTAGAAGCAAGGGCCGTCCCGAGGGCGCAGAAAACGCTGGGCTTCCTTGCCAGCATCCAAAATTGGCTTGGGATAATCGACCTCGTCCCTTCCCACCTTTCTTCTTGCTCAACAGGCCCCCCCTGTACAGGCATTCCCAGCTCAGCTTCTGGAAGGACACCTGGAACCCATCAGCCAATCTTTCCCCGCTGCCCAACTGATGCCAAGCCAGAAAGGGCACAAGCGATCTCTGCCAAGGGGTAGCCCCGACCACATTGCCCCGGCTGCCACTTCCCAACGCTGTGCCAAGAGGAAGAAGAGGGGGCCCTGATGTCCCCAAGGAGGGGGGCTGAAGGTTTTTCTCTTGGAAGAAACAGAGACAAGAGAGTTGGGTGCATATCTGTCTGGGCTGCGTCTGTGGGGCAACGGGAGCTGGTCCTTCCCTGTCCCCTTTTCTTCTCAGATTTTCCAAGGACATCCACCCCTGCGTTGAAATGGCTGAACAGCCAAGCTTGCCCAGCACACTAGATGGGGTTAAAATGAGGTTGGAGCACGGTGGGTTCCTATGCTGTGCAACCCAGATAATGTCTTAGCATGCTGGGTGAACCAAGCCATCTTGTTAGCCACCTTTTAGCTTCTTTGCTTGGGCAGAACAGGCTCTGTGAACTCAGCAACTGAATTTTGTTTATCCAGGTTTAGTGGGTGGTGTGAATCCAGCAGTTAAGATCCAAGATAACGTGGATGTTATTTCGCACAGGTTGTCCCAAGTTTTTTCATGGCTGACTCTGGTCAGATATTTTATTTGGCAGACCTTAGGGTTTGTGGGAAGGAAAACTGAGATGGGGGTGACGGGGGGTGGTGGGGAAATCTTATGTGCAGAGGAGGGGAACTGGGGGTCAACCCTCCTGTTTCATCCTGGTGCAGTTGAGTAGATCATGCTGGCTAGGGATTAGGAGATTTGAAATCCAACACATCTGGAATGCAGCAGCAGCAGGTTGGAATAGAGAATGGGTGGTGGTGGGGGGGCTCTGTAGGACCACCAGAATGAAGGCCTATTTGCAGTTCAGGCTCACATCCTGCTCAACTAAAGTATCACTGATTCCCAATCAAATAAAATTACAGATGTGGCTTCAAAACATCTTATAACCAGAGGACTAGAGACATAAGAAAGACCAGTAGTGATGCCCCACTACCACAACTGGGAAGAGCCTGACACAAGAAACCTTCTAAATCAGTGTTTTCCAAACTTGGCAACTTTAAGAGATGTGGGCTTCAGTTCCTAGAATTCCCCAGCCAGCATGGCTGGTTCGGGAATTCTGGGAGTTGAAGTCTACAACTCTTAAAGTTGCCAAGTGTGAAAAACACTGCTCTAAATGATCAGGAAAACCACTGTCTAGCCCAAACCTTGGGGTAGCATCTCATCAGCAAGGATTCATGCCACTCACCTCAGTTAATACTTGGTCCAGAAGCATCTTGGCTTCTACGGAAACATTCCAGAGATCCTTTTCTTCCACCATCATGGAATCCAGAAAGCCTTTCTCCAAGACCACGTCAAAGCTTCTGTCCACGAAAGTCAAGAACCGGGCATCCATTACCACCCAATGTAAGCCTGAGCAATGCGCGTAACGGTCTTGCATGCTTGAAATGCACACGGCGGAATAATCTATGTTGGTGATGTCTGTGTACCCAAGCTGGAAAAGATCATAACTCAGAGCACTGTTCCCACAGCCTGCAAAAGACATAATTGTGAGTTGGTTATTCTCAAAGATTTCCCACAGAGCCATCGATCAGTGGTGCACGGTGGGAGCAATGGTCACCCCAACTCTTTAAACTTTTTCACAGCTAAATATTTCACATCTATAAAGTCAGGTACTTGATGAATTATGGCTGTATCAAGTGTGGGGGGTGGCTAAAAGAATCACACTGTGAAATTAGACGTATTATATTATTTCAGATGTCAAGGAATGGTTGTCAGAAATGTGTGATCTATCTGTTTTGGAAAAGGCAATATTTTCTACTAATCACAGGATGCAGCAATATGTGTTACTCTGGCAGTGATTTTGTTATAATTTATGATAACATGTTGTACATATTATAATAGTGTATTCATTAGTAAACCAGTGACTATTAATAAGTTATAAAATATAAGGTAGATTTTTTTTTCCTTTTTCTCATTCTTTCTTCATTTGTATCTTTAGTTTGTTTGGGGTTGTCTCTTTTCTAATTTTTTAAAAGTTTTTTTTAAGTTTAAAGATTTTGTTAATTGTATATGTATACAATTTTTAGACAGATAGATAACGTCATGTATTTGCTCATGCCAGTCGAATGCTCTCATTAGCTTAACTATCAGAAATGCCACTAAAATACAGCTTCTGGGTTTAAGCCATCAAAAATCTACCAAGTAAAAATACAGATCCGCATTTCTATGAAGTCCAGATCTTGTGCATGGAGGCTGAAATTCTCACCTCACCCTGAAATATGTGTATTTTCGTTTGCCCTCTGTTCAGCAATATTTAACATCAAGAACTTGAATTTCAACAATTCAACTGCTAAGAGTGTAATGCCTACATTCTATTTCCATTCTGTTTCAGAAACAAACTAATCCAGAGTTGTGTAAGCAGGGCACCCAGGACCTCAAAAAAACATTACTATATTGTTATTCTTACTGTGACAGAAGGGGAAAATGATTAAAGTCACAGCTGCAGAGGAACAATATTAACTCAATTTAATTGTAATTACTTTAAATGTAAATGGACTGAAATCAAGTTTAGTTTTTGTCCTAGCTTCATACATTACTTTCTGGAGTATGGCCTCTAGCTGTCCACTCCATGCCAAATGTGCAAGAGCTACCCTTCTTGGTCCAGAAAAGCTACAACTGTTCACCTTAGCTCTCACAAAGACGTGCTACCCAGGTGGAGGCTACACCATTTCAGGTAGGAGTCATGTTATCAAAAGTTTTTCTGCAGAAATGCTCTCTGCCTATAAACACTTAGCACATCAAGGTTTATAGTCCATCCTCATCGCTTTGCTTGTTTTCTACATGTGGGGAATACGTTTCTAGAGAAAAATATTACAGGAGCACAAGCCAGACATAGATCTAACTCTAATGGAAACATTAAAAGCAGCAAACAACCAAAACTGAACCAGGATTGCTTTGGGGACCCAGAGCTGCCTTTGAGCATGTCCAGAGTGCCTTTCCCTTCCGCCATCACCTGGGATTAAAGGAACAGGAGATCTTTTCCTTCTGGTTAAGCCAGAGCTACAGGCCTTTCTGTTTCCCAGAACAGAACCCATCACCCACTTCCTTGCCCAATTACAAAGGTGGCCAATTTCATGAATTTGCACTCAACATTTCTCCGAGTAGGTTTCTGTATCCAAAGAAACACAAGTGGAAGGACCGCGGGGAGAGGAAAAGAGAGGAAAATGGGGCAGAGTGGGTGCCACAGATCACAATCTAATTAGTGAGGAAACAGCGGTTAATGAGTGGGTTGAAAAAGGCACTTTAATTACTTTTGCACAGAGCTGGGAATTCATACGTCTGGCACCTTTTCCTCCTTGGATAGAGAGAGGCACAGAGGCCTGGCACCTGAAGACAAGACCACTGGTTTTCACTTGGATCAACCTGAACCCTTGGATTTATGACCCAAGGGGTCTCCCACTCCCCTCCTGGACACTAATCTGCAACTCCAAAAGTGGGCTGCCGAAGACAACCATAGTGCATGGGTTTGGCTTTCGAGCAGAATTCTGCTTCCCTTCTGCTCTGTAAGTTTCCGGCACTTATGAATGCCAAGAGCAGCTGGCCGATGCTGCAAATGCCAAAGGACAGACCCAACGGGGGAATTCCTACCACCCCAAAACTGAGGAGAGATGAAGAAGGCTTAATGGGCTGTGTAAAGGAGGCTAGTGGTCTATGAAAATGCAGAGGCTGCAGCCTTTAGCTATGGGGTACAATCCCGGCCTAAAACTCCATCATTTCAGAAAGACCAGAAATGGTCAGAACATTTCTGTTTCGTTTTGCAAACCAGGATTCCTTTCCACGCTGACTCCACATTTTGGGAGGAAAAACATTCTCCCAAGTCTTCAATGGGCAATAGGTTGTTTTCTTCTATAACTAGAAGCAGTATAGAAATATCTTTACAGACACACACACACACGCAAGCAACAACTAGGATTAGGAATCAGATGGGCTGGTCAGTGAGCAAAGAAACCTCCCCCATTAGATAACTTCCCAAACTCTTATCAAGAGAACACTTTTCTTGGGTCAAATCAAGGTGGCAAAATAGCACGCAAGGTTTTGAGACCTGTGAAACTTTTTCTCAATCCTAACCCTTCCAATTTCTATCAATCCTTCTTAAAATGTGGCACCCAGATCTGCACTCGAGGTGGGTCAGACCGAAGGAGATTAAAGTAGAATGATTTACTTTCTGAAATTTGGAAACTAACCTTCTCTTAAGGCAGCCCAGAACTGCATTAACCTCCTTTGCAGCCACATCACCCAACTGGCTCCTGTTCAGTTTGCAGTCCCAAGATCTTTTGCACAAGCACCATTGCCTCTAGCTAAATTCCTTAATCCACACCTAAAACTGAAAGGAAACCATGTTTGCAATCCCTTTTCGTCAGCTGAACCCTTGCAGTTTCTCCCATGGTTAAATTCAGAAGACTCTTTGTATTTACACCATCCTCCTAAGCCATCACGCTCCGGGTCTGCAAAAATAGGGGCCAAATAAAATAAAAATAAAATAGGACTTGATATACTTAGCAGCCACCAAAGAGAACGAGACGACTGGAGAAGCAAAACAGGATGGTGGTAATGAAACCATCCCGTGGAGAAGGTCATCTGTGATAAGAGAAAGGGAGCTGGGTTTGTTTGCAACTCCCTCTTAGTCTCTCTACCCGGGAAGTTAGGAGTTCATGGACTAGTGTTTTGTAACTGACAAGGGGGAAGCCAAAAATAATAATTCAGTAGTTTCTAAAGCAGTGTTTCTCAACCTTGGCAGCTTTCAGATGGGTGGATTTCAACTCCCAGAATTCCCCAGCCAGCA